GAGGAGGCTTTGGGGGACCGGTTACATGAGGAGGAGGACGCCTTGTGTGAGTGAGAACTGGACTTATGGTACCCGAGACAAAGAACAAGTCGGGTCGGGTCGGGAAGCCACTGCAAGGGCAGCTTTGCATTCCCCTTGTGCTTAGCTTTATAGGGAATGTTATATTGGAATTATTTATTATGGTCAGGACTGAAATCATGTTTTTGTCTGCTTTGGGTGTTTATTATAATGTATCCGAGGCCAACCTATGTTCCCCCCTGCCCCTCCCCTTGCCCCTCCCCCGCCACGGCCGAGGAGAAGCATTTTATATGATGATGATACAATGTTGCCGTCTTGTGTTTCGTAGATTGTATTCAAGAATCTGGCTCGCAGGCCCTTTAACATCTATCCTCAGGGGCTGAGCAGCGTGACTTCTAACCGGCCTTCTCTGACAGGTAATGTTGGTTGTGATGACGGATAACCAATAGGAAAGTTCCGGAATCTGTGTGCGGATCGGGATGTTTGTTGTGGCATCTGGTTACTTAAAGTGGACCTGGAGGAGCCATGCTTCCTATAGGGGACATAGTGCCTAGGCCGTACCCTGAAAAATTGACCCTGAATTTCTTGTGAAAGATAACAGTGCACTTCCTGTGCCTAGGCACTCCTCATATCTGTGCCCTTCCTGTGCCTAGGCACTCCTCATATCTGTGCACTTCCTCGGCCTAGGCACTCCTCATATCTGTGCACTTCCTCAGCCTAGGCACTCCTCATATCTGTGCTCTTCTTGTGCCTAGGCACTCTTCATATCTGTACACTTCCTGCGCCTAGGCACGCCTCATATCTGTGCACTTCCTGTGCCTAGGCACTCCTCATATCTGTGCACTTCCTTGGCCTAGGCACTCCTCATATCTGTGCACTTCCTGTGCCTAGGCACTCTTCATAGATGTGCACTTCCTGTGCCTAGACACTCCTCATATCTGTGCACTTCCTGCACCTAGGCACTCCTCATATCTGTGCACTTCCTGTGCCCAGGCACTCCTCATATCTGTGCACTTCTTGGGTCTAGGCACTCCTCATAGCTGTGCACTTCCTGTGCCTAGGCACTCCTCATATCTGTGCACTTCCTGTGCCCATGCACTCCTCATATCTGTGCACTTCCTGTGCCCAGGCACTCCTCATATCTGTGCACTTCTTGGGTCTAGGCACTCCTCATAGCTGTGCACTTCCTGTGCCTAGGCACTCCTCATATCTGTGCACTTCCTGTGCCCATGCACTCCTCATATCTGTGCACTTCCTGTGCCCATGCACTCCTCATATCTGTGCACTTCCTGTGCTTAGGCACTCATATCTGTGCACTTCCTGTGCCTAGGCACTCCTCATATCTGTGCACTTCCTGTGCCCATGCACTCCTCATATCTGTGCACTTCCTGTGCCTAGGCACTACTCTTCTGTAGCCTCATAGCTGTATATCTGCAATGTGAGACCATCTAAGGCACTTCTGCCTCTGCTAGTCTCAGGAGATTTGGAGTGAGATCTGGTGATGTCACTCCTGTGCTGCTCACTGTGCTCCTTGCTGGAGAGGAAGCCGTACCTGAGGACCTGCAGTGCAAGGATCTCATTCCTTCTGTGGCTCTGTTCTTCCTTCACCTCTCCTGCTGCTGCATCCTTACCCCACCAGTCAACAAGGGGTGGCTCTGACACGAGGAAGCAAAGCCGCCGCCTCTACCAGGAGATTTGGTGATGTCACCACTGTGTTGCTCATCGTTCTCCTTGCTGGAGAGGAAGCTGTACCTGAGGACCTGCAGTGCAAGGATCTCCATGCTTCTGCTTCATCCATTCCATGGATCCCTGCTTCCTTCACCTCTCCTCCTGCTTCTTAATCATAATCCCACCAGTCATGAAGGGGGGCCCTCTGACACGAGGAAGCAAAGCCCTGCCTCTACCATAATGGCCTCCTTCACACAGACACAGTGCATGGTTACTAAGTAATGGGGAAAAGATGCAGTACAGGTCCTCTTTAAGGAAAGACTACATGTTGGTGGTTTCCTGACAGCACAAATGCATTTGATTATTTTATATATTTCTTGATTCTAAGTTTCTTCCTATTTTCCAGGCGAGCAGTTAAGGGATTACCCCATCCATCCCAATGACTCCATAACATACATCTGGCAGGTGACCACCTACGACAGCCCGACGTCATCTGATCCACGATGCCTTACACGGTTCTACGCCAGCTTCCTCGATCTGCAGAAAGATTTATCATCCGGCCTCATTGGGCCCCTTCTGATCTGCTCAAAGCAGACTTTGGATCGCGGAGGAAATCAGGTGAATATGTCATTTGATGTGCCTTTTATTTCAACCAAAGCACGTCTGTTATTTACATGTAGACAACGGAGTCTCATAGACACCTGACCATCACACCTCTATGAGCTTGTAGGACATCCCATTGAAAAACCATGGCCATTTAAATTTTAAATGGAGTTGCCCTTCCCCTTCATGGCCATGAATATGTAGTTGCCCCCCTTTGTGGTTTTACCATCTTCCACCCTTCCAGGAAGACTTTCCACAAGAAGTTGGAGTGTGTCTGTGGGAATTTGTGCCCATTTGTGAGGTCAGGTACTGATGTTGGATGAGAAGACCTGACTCACAATCGGCATTCTCAAGTGTTCAGTAGGGTTGAGGTCAGGGCTCTGTGCAGGACACTCAAGTTTCTCCACACCAAATTGGTCAAACCAAGTCTTTATGAAGCTCGGACAATAATATGGAGGTTCCCCTTTATCACTATAACGTCCTCCACCCTTCCAGGAAGTCTTTCCACAAGGTTTTCGAAAAGTGTCTGTGGAAATGTGTGCCCATGTGTGATGTCAGGTACAGATGTTGGATGAGAAGACCCGGCTCACAAATGCTTTTCCAATTTATCCCAAAGATGTTCAGTAATGTTGAGGTTCCTCGAGTTCCTCCACACCAAACTGGTCAACCCATGTCTTTATGGAGCTGGTTTCGTGCCCCTGGTCCTAAGTTCCATAAGGTTGCCGTCAGGGCTCTAGTGTGGGAGAACTTGAGTGGGCTTCACATACAGGTAAAACCATGTCTTTATGGAGCTGGCTTTGTACACAGGGGACAGTCACGGTGGAAGAGAAAAGGGTCTTCACCAAACTGTTACCACAAGGCTGGAAGAGCACAATTGTCTACAATGTCATTGTATGGTGTAGGATCAACAGAAGCTTCATTGGAAAAACCTGAACTCAACCATTTGGAGGGGTTCCAACTCATCCCAATGGTGATCAGTTGGGTTGAGGCCTGGGCTCTCTGCAGGACATTGGTGTTCCTCCACACCAAATTGGTCACGCCATGTCTTTATGGAGCTGGCTTTGTACACAGGGGGCAGTCATGGTGGAACAGAAAAGGGCCTTCACCAAACTGTTACCACATGGCTGGAAGAGAGCAATTCTCTAAAACTGCCATCAAATGCTATAGCATCACCAGTACCCCTCACTGGCAGCACCGAAACTCATTATTTGAAGGGATGTCCACATACTTCTGCCCATACAATAGTTGTGGTGGTTCGCTTAGATCCTGAAGATATGCCCGACTGTCCCGGATCACCTCGGTATGCGATCTGGGCTGGCCATAATCAGGCATATTAGAGGTTGCTCGCTGGGGCCTCTCAGGGACCTTATAGACCACCTGAGTGCTGCACAGCCCCCCTGAGAGCCCATACAGCCCACCCAACAGCACACAGAGCCCACCTGAGAGTGGCACAGCCCCCCTGAGAGCCCGCACAGCAACACTAAGAGCCACACAGCATCCATGAGAGCCCATACAGCCCCCCTGAGAGTTGTACAGCCCCCTTTAGAGCCCATACAGACTGCCTCAGAGCCACACAGACATTAGACCCTCTAATAGCCCTTATAGACCACCTGAGAAGCCCGCACAGCATTCCTGAGAGCCTCACAGCCCCCCTGAGAACCTGTGCAGAAGTTCCAATTGCAGGGTTGGCACTTTGAGATACATATGTTGGTTTAGTGATCCAGTTTGGGCACTCGGGCTCAAAAAAGGTTCACCATCACTGGTGTATACCAACCAACTCAACCAATAGCTCAAAGCCAAACTGAACTTTTGGTTTCAATTAGCTAAATACATTCTAGGAGGACCAAAATGAAAGGTGTGCAAGGTCTTCCAGCCTGAGTAGAAAAGCCTGTCCCCTGTCAGCATGCTGCAGAGTAGGACCCTCTTTGCGTGGAAGCAGTGGTCTTTCTGCCCGAAGTCCAACACGCCCCCGGCTGAGTCAGACCAATAGCTCTGCAATCAGTAAAGGCTGTGCTCCTTCCTGACTGGAGCACCCTAGCTCTGCACCCGGAATGTATTTAAAGTGGAACTACCTTTACGACCAAGGAAGGTGACACCTGAGCCTCAATTTAGGTTGTAGTTTATTGTATTTTAGGTTGTTTAGTGTTGTACATGTGATCATCTAGAAATCCAACCATTGGAGGGCTTAAACGTTTGGTTGAGAGCTGAAATAAACGCGCCGGCAACCTTGATAGGTGGCAAGTCTTTAAAGGAGAACTATGGGGTCAGTGTTTTTCCCCATAGTTCTCCTTAGGGTAACGGGAGGACACAAACTAGCGTCCTCCCGTTGCCCTAAGCTCAGTATACCGCGAGCTACAGCTCCCTATATACTGAGATGCCGCAGCCAAAGCGGATCACGACGTAGATGACGGGATCCGCCCAGCTGCGTGAGTGACAGCTGGCTCTGCCTATCTAGAGGCAGAGCCAGCTGTACCCGCCCCCTCCCACCGTCCATTCCGCCAAGTCAGCGCTGGCAGATCGGAGCGGGGAGGGGGGAATCCAGCCCCTCCCCTGTCACGGCAGAGAGCCGTGACAGGATCGAGAGGTGAGCGAACGCCGGTATGTGTTCCCTCACCTCCCGATCTACTGAGCCGACCTGTGACAGTCTCATTGTCACAGGTCGGCTAGAACTATGAGGTGAGTGGAAATCACTCATCTCATAGTTCTCCTTTAAAGTAACTGTTTTGGGACACATTAAATTGGTGGGTCCGGTTCCTCTGACTTAGTTGAGTTTTGGACCTCAATGTTGAAGATTCGTGTTCCTTCTCGCCTTGTTTTTTCGGCAGTTGATTTGGAACGACTCTGAACTTTGACAATCATTGTTTCGCTGTAATGAACGTGTAGGATGTAACATTTTGTACATTTTGCCATTTCCTATGTGACACATTGTATCTCTCGTTAATGGTAATGAAATGTTGTTTGTAGATAGTTACAGATAAGGAACATGTCCTTTTCTTCTGCATATTTGATGAAGCGCTGAGCTGGTACCACGAAGAGAACAGTCAAAAGTCTTCTACAAGCTCACCGGGAAACCAGAGCGCGATCGTGAAACCTCCGGGGCGTAGCCTGATATACAGTACGTACCGTGGGAATGTATATAGCTCTCTCTTATCGTAATACATTGTGCAGAAAAGATCAATTCATTTTGGTGATCACTGTACATCAGTGGCGTCACAAGGGGGGTGCGAGGAGTGCCCCCCTTTGAAAAGTCGGGCACTCGGGTCATAGGCCGAGAGCCCGACAGTTTCAGGAGAGAGGAGGGGACACGGCAGCATACCTTTTCCCGCCCCCTCCTCTCTCTGCCGGTGTCTATTACCAAGATGGCCGCTGGCGGCTATCCATAAGATAACCGCGCATGCGTGATGACGTAATTGCGCACGCTTGTGGGGACAGCGGGGTATCCTCTCCAGGTGACACCCGGCCTTGGGACACCCCTGTAACATTTTGCTATCCTGAAGAAAAAGCTATTTGTTTCTCCATGTCCTTTCCAGACTGATTCCTGAGTGGGAGGGGTCTGATTCCTGAGTGGGAGGGGTCTGATTCATGAGTGGGAGGGGTCTGATTCCTGAGTGGGGGAGGGTCTGATTTCTGAATGGGAGGGGTCTGATTTCTGAATAGGAGCAGTCTGATTCCTCAGTGGGAGGGGAGTTAATTTCTGTATGGGAGTGGTATGATTCCTGAATGGGAGGGGGAGTTGATTTTTTAATGCGAGGGGCTTGGTTCCTAAACCGGAAACGTCTGATTCCTTATGAGATGGATATGATTTCTGAATGGGAGGGGTCTAGTTCCTATATAGGAGGGGCTTATTTTTTAATGGGAGGGGTCTCATTGCTGAATGTGAAGGTCGGATTCCTGCATGACGGGTATGATTCCTAAATCGGAAAGGTCTGATTCCTGAATGGGAGGGGTATGATTTGTGATTGGGAGGGTTCTGGTTCCTCAATAGGAGGGGAGTTGATTTCTGTATGGGAGAGGTATGATTCCTAAACGGAGGGGGAGGTGATTTCTAAATGCGAGGGGCCTGGTTCCTAAATCGGAAAGGTCTGATTCCTTAATGGGAGGAGTATGATTTCTGAATGGGAGGGGTCTGGTTCCTGAATAGGAGGGTGTTATATTTGAATGACAGGGGTATAATTGCTGAATGGGAGGAGTCTGATTTCTGAACAGGAGGGGTCTGATTTCTGAACAGGAGGGGTCTGATTTCTGAACAGGAGGGGTCTGATTTCTGAACGGGAGGGGTCTGATTTCTGAACGGGAGGGGTCTGATTTCTGAACGGGAGGGGTCTGATTTCTGAACGGGAGAAGTCTGATTTCTGAATGGGGGGATCTAATTCCTAAATGGGAAGGGTTTGATTTCTGAATGGGAGGTGTCTGATTTTTGGATGGGAGGGGTCTGATTCCTGAATGAAAGGGGTATGATTTATAAATGGGAGGGGCCTTGTTCCTAAATAGGAGGGTCTGATTTCTGAATGAGAGGAATCTAATTCCTGAATGGGAAGGGTCTGATTTCTAAATGGGAAGGTCCGATTTCTGAATGGGAGGGTTCTGATTCCTAAATGGGAGGGTTCTGATTCCTAAATGGGAGGGTTCTGATTCCTAGTCTGATTTCTGAACAGGAGGGGTCTGATTTCTGAACAGGAGGGGTCTGATTTCTGAACAGGAGGGGTCTGATTTCTGAACAGGAGGGGTCTGATTTCTGAACGGGAGGGGTCTGATTTCTGAACGGGAGGGGTCTGATTTCTGAACGGGAGGGGTCTGATTTCTGAACGGGAGAAGTCTGATTTCTGAATGGGGGGATCTAATTCCTAAATGGGAAGGGTTTGATTTCTGAATGGGAGGTGTCTGATTTTTGGATGGGAGGGGTCTGATTCCTGAATGAAAGGGGTATGATTTATAAATGGGAGGGGCCTTGTTCCTAAATAGGAGGGTCTGATTTCTGAATGAGAGGAATCTAATTCCTGAATGGGAAGGGTCTGATTTCTAAATGGGAAGGTCCGATTTCTGAATGGGAGGGTTCTGATTCCTAAATGGGAGGGTTCTGATTCCTAAATGGGAGGGTTCTGATTCCTAAATGGGATGGGTCTTATTTCTGAATGGAAATGTCTGGTTTATTATAACCACCTGGTGCACTTTCTGTGTTCTAATGAGGAAAGTTGCAGTGTCGGCATCCCTTTACAAGTAGTTAACCCCTTAGGGAATATGCCACCAAAAAAAATGACATTTCTATTGCAGGTACGCCTAAAATATGACTTATATCTGGAGACTTCTCGGAAAAGCTGTGAGCCAATCACAGAAGCAGGAAGTGATATTTCTGGGGGTGGGCATTACACTTATGGTCTAGAGAATGCCCCCAGATTTTTTTTTAAACAGTCAAGTGAAAGGCCATTTTTAATAACATTGAATTATAAAGTAGCTTGTGCTCCAATTGGAGTTTTCCTTTAACCATTAGTAAAATATTCTCTCTACAGCTATAAATGGGATTGTGGATTCTCTGCAGCTGAGTATCTGCCAGAATGAAGTCAGCGTGTGGCATGTTTTAAATCTGGGCCTGGGCACAAAGCTGCTCTCCATTTACTTTGGGGGAAACACCTTCATGGTGGACTCGAGCTATCAAGAAACGCTGACTCTCATTCCGATGAATGGAAAGACCGTCGTCATGGTGATGGAAAAATCAGGTCCGTCACTTTATCTTATCTCTCCTGATAGCAATGCTAAATAAATACCAAAGTCCATCACTTGTTCATTGATTATGCTATTGATCCAGGCACAGACAAACCCGGTCACCGAGCTGAATGGACCCATTGTGTCACCTGGGGGCGGTGGCTGAGTAACAGGCAGGACACATACGAGAGGTGCAAGTCCTCATCAGATGGGCAGGAGGTAGCAAGTCAACAAGCCTATAGTCAAACTAGGCCCAGACAGTCCATCCAAAATAGAGTGTATCTTCTAGACACGTATGTAGAGAGAGCAAAGACCGACAATAGCAGAGGGGACAGGCCGCAGAGTCCACAAAATCTGCTGGACTGATCCAGGGCATGGACAGACATGGACAGATCCAGGGCATGGGTAGACATGGATAGATCCAGGGCATGGACAGACATGGATAGATGCAGGACATGGACAGACATGGACAGATGCAGGACATGGACAGATGAAGGGCATGGACAGACATGGACAGATGCCGGACATGGACAGACACGGACAGATGCAGGGCATGGACAGACATGGACAGATGCAGGGCATGGACAGACACGGACAGATGCAGGGCATGGATAGACATGGACAGATGCAGGGCATGGACAGACATGGACAGATGCAGGGCATGGACAGACACGGACAGATGCAGGGCATGGACAGACATGGCCAGATGCAGGGCATGGACAGACATGGACAGATGCAGGGCATGGACAGACAGAAGTCAGACTGACATGAATCCAGGGCATGAGCAGATAGACTAACCTGTTCATCATGCACAAGCAGAGTGTCCAGCAGTCTATTTAAGCTTTTATTAGTTAGAGCAGGTGTGCAATGCAGAAAACTGAGCTGCAGTGCTAAGAAAAGGCTACCAGATGGCAACGGCTCAAGGCGGATTAATAAAACCTCAATAATATCCTCCTCTTCCCTTTTAAATGTCTTCAGATTTATTTTCTTATGAAGATGACTTGAAATCATGTTCGTAGCCCCCGATACATCATCACACGGGCTGCAGTGATCTTCAGGCTGCTGGGGGGTGGGAGAAGGTCTAGGAGAGGACATTCCAGTATCAGACTGCTTATGCAGCTACACTCCACAAATGATGGGGACAGCACTTTCATTGAGGAGGAGGGTTCTCAGCAGTGTCAAGCCTTAGTGCTGAAAATGAATTGGTATCAGCCTCTTGCAGTCCCTAATACGGCAACATTCAGATTCAGAGAGGGCATGTCAGGACCGGAAGCCAATCAGGTGTGCTGCATACAATTGTGCTGACAAGGAACATGATGATAGGAGCAGAGAGCAGAAGGATCCCCTTATCAGCCTACTGCTGCTCTTACTGTCCAGTCTTCGGGTTGAAAATAGAAAGAGGACACCACTGTAATCCTTAATTGTAAGTGGTATCATCCATCTAGATGAGGCAGGGCTGTGTAAATGTCAAGAGTGGATGGACAGAAATACAAATCCTTTGGTAGGCCAACCAGATCCCTTCTCTGCATTTCATCTGTTTGTAAATTTGTAAAGTGCCCCCCTGAGTGCTGCTCACAAGGTGAAATACCTTCAGCCGCAGTCAGGTGACCTTCACTGTGTGGCCGCACATGGAGCCACACAATTTTTCTCCGATAGATGTCCAGTCCACACTACGCATGCGTGCCGTGGCCCATATCATTTCAATGGGAATGGCCGATTCCAAGTGACCGATGGAAGCTGCCATGAGTATGGCTTTCCCATAGGAATGAATGGGGCTGCATTGCACATGCGCAGAACGAACCAGCCATTTTCTGGAGAAAGGCTGACGGCCCCATGGAGGGGGGTGGGGAAAAATTATTATAGGACAACTGTACAAAGGTTCACTTGTACTTTATGCTCTTCCTATTTATATGTATGACTTGTCGATTTCTTCCTTGAAGGTCAATGGCTGGTGGCCCCAGACTCCCCTCTAGCAGATCTAGGCATGCAAGCGACCTTAAGGGTTTCACACTGTGAGAATCATCTAGATGAGTACTATGAATATGAAGATTCAAAGGATATCACCCACGATCCTGCGTTGTATCAGTTTCCATTTATTACGTCCTTCAAAATGCCACCTTCTGGATCTTCCTCTGGACCACATTTCAGGCCACCTTCTGGATCTTCTTCTGGACCACCTTCTGGATCCTCTTCTGGACCACCTTCTGGATCCTCATCTGGACCATCATTTGGTCCATCTTCTGGAGCTTCTACTGGACCACCTTCTAAATCTTCTTCAGGACCACCATTCAGACCACCTTCTGGATCTTCTTCTGGACCCTGGAGCAACTTTAAGAAATCAAAAACCCCAGATGATCTAGATAATGCAATCCTGAACGATGAGCCTCTTGACTCTCCAATTGTTGGATCTGCCGAAGACCAAAATGGTGCCGTTAAAGGGGAACCAGGTAAGCGATCAAGCCGACAGCAAAGAGATACAACGGGACGAACCGGCCCAGCGGGTAAGCGGTTGGAAGGTGGATCAGAGCTGAAGAACTCGCTGGAGGAGGACGACGTGGATTTTTACGATGATGAATACCAAGGCAATGATATGGAATATGTTGACATGTACGGAGAACAAGGCCCTCGAAGCCTCGAAGGGCAACTGCAGACCTATTTCATAGCAGCTGAGGAGGTGATATGGGACTACGGTGGTGGAAGATCCCCATATTTCATCAAAGACGGGTAATTTGAATTTGTTTAAGTGTGACGTGGAAACGCTCGTGTGCGTTGTTTTGTGTAACCTGCCATTTTTCCAAAATAAGTTGAGGTTCCCCTTAAAGAGACACTCTCACCTGCCCATTCAGGGCACCTGACAGAGCCTCATGATGGCCCTATTCCATGGCTTCTAAAGCTCATGGCTTCATTCAACCAGGAAGACTGAGGACATCTAGTGGTGGAGAGGAGGTACTGCGGGGGACATCGCTGGAGAGGAGGTGAGTATTGCATCTATAAGCACTGCCTGGGGCTCCTTTTTCCCCAGAGTTGGGCTTTAATTTGTGTTCCTTGAAGGCAGGAACTTGTTCGTAGGAGGAGAAAGAAAAGTGAGGGGTGGCCTCTCTGCTGCTGCTTCTCCTTCCTTTGTCCAATCACAGGCTGGGGGTGGGGTTAAGACCTAGTTGTACTGCACAATTACAGTACAGAAAAGTCCGTTCTCTAAGCTAAGCCTGTGCAAATTTGAGAACTGGATGGACAGAAAAAACAATTCTTTGGCAAGTAAATCAGCTGCCATGGTCCTTCACCAAATGGCTTTCCCGTCTTTTCGGTCCCTTCCACTTATGTTTTTGGTAGCCCGTGTTTAATAGTTCGTCACGTTTTGTTCTCCATCAGGCGTCATGTGCCGCACGGCTTCCCGTCATATAAGAAGGTGGTGTTCCGGGAGTACCTGGACAGCAGCTTTACCGAACCCGCAATCCGCGGGGAGCGAGACGCCCATTTAGGGCTTTTGGGGCCGTGTATCCAGGCGGAGGTCAATGATGAAATCCTAGTAAGTCAGCTTTCCGTGTCATGTGACTGCATGTAACACATGTCATGGATGGGGAGCAAATCCAGACTCCTTCCTCCACCTGTCAGAGATTGAGTTGCATTTCCCGCCTCTGTTCCAAACTTGGGGTTTAGGATTTAACCCCTTCCCACATGCGTTCCAATGTAGATTAATGCTCCCCTGCACAACGCCCGAGTCTGAGGACATATCAATCTACATCCCCCTAGCAGGCTGTCCATGACAGGTCCAGTCCCCACTAGTGATTAGAAACCGATGATGGGATCACTGCAACGGCTACGACCTAGTGATCAGATGCAAGCTGAAGGCTGTATGCGGAAAAATTGGTTTCCGTTTGCAGCCTGTAGATGACAATGTGTCTCTGTTTAATATTGTAGTTGTCTAATACAATGACAGTATAAGAATGATGAGAGAGGGGTGAAAAAGGACCAGGGCTCTTCCTCTCCCTTTTTGTTCCAGTAATGGCCCACTTTCAGGTATGCAAAATCTTGAGGCACCCCCCAGTTTTAAATGTAATATATTGTAATGGGGGCCCACACAAAAACCCACCCAAAAAGTGGGGTTCCCTCTTTCACATAGAATTCCCCACTTAAAATAAGGAGCACCCCTTCATATTAGTGCCCCCCCCCCCTCACATCAGAGCCCCCTCCTTTCACATCAGAGTTCCCTGTTCACATCACAAGCCCCCCTTCACATAAGGAGCCCACCTTTCACATCATAGCCCCCCTTTATGTCAGAGCCCCTCTTTCCACTTCACATCAAGAGCCCTCTTCACATAAGGACCCCCTCCCTTTCGCTTCAGAGTTCCCCTACACAAAAGTTCGAGGCACCCCTGAGGAAGCCAGAGGGTACATCAAGGCATCCTGCTTGAGTAAGGCTATCCTAGAGATGTGCTTTAAAGACATTGTAACCAGCCCCAATCCCACCCCATCCATCCATCCCACCACCCATCCCCCCCACCACCCATCCAACACTCCACCCAACC